CATCATTTTGTTGTGTGATTGTACAGCCCCTAGCACCACAGGGTCCTTCTTCATGCCTGGGGCTCCTAGGTGCTACCAAAGTACAAACGATCATAATTGGCTGCCTCGTCAGTCTGCAGTTGCAGCGTGAGGGAGGCTAAAGTGGAATTTACTTGGTTCATGCTTTCCTGTTGCTCTCAGCTAGCTGTGCTCTTGAAGAAGATAAGGAAACTACCTCTACAAGCAGGGAAGGGAGCTGTCCTTTAGCTCAAGTGGTAGAGGACGGTGACTGTGGTGAAAAAGGGCCTGGGTTCTAGTCCTGTATCCAGGCGTGCGAGAGGCTGATCGAGTCATGGTGTCTAGCAGCTGCAGCACCTGGGTTTGTTATAACAAGATACGCTTGACCTGCGGCCCATCTTTCAAAGGTAAATGATTTCAAATCTCTGGGGCTATTTGAAATAAAGCCCCAGTGCTCAGCCAGCAGCACGTGGAGACTGGGAAGAGGCGGGTTGGGAGGGGGAAAAACAACCAAAGCTATTGCAGAGGTGATCATCTTGTGCTGACATCCTTGGTGGATGGGTCTCTGGCTTGGTGGGGTGGCAGACATGGTCCCAATGATGTGTCAAGCTGGTTCCTCGAGCGCTATCCTGCTGCTGGAAAGGTGTGGGCTCGGCCCTCCAGTCTTCTCCTGCTGTTACCTGGAATATTCCTAAATGGAGTGAAGCCAGCATTGGAAAATGTTGCAGCCCTTGGAACAAATGGACATTTCAGTTTAATGACACACTTCTGCAGGCAGGTCATTCTGCATGGACCCAGGTCAATTGCAGCCAAAACCACACTGAGCTACCTGCGTGCTGGTAGAGACTAAGCCCTGTCTATACGGGAAAGGGTGCACTAGATTGCTTTAAATCTATGAGCCTGATTGACTTAAATATGTAATTTAACTAGTGCAAACCCCTACTGTGTACGCACTTAAACCAGTTTAACCACATCTACCTTAGGCGTTTACCTTGGTTTGACGAGTCATCCCCTTGCACCACACTAGGGCCAGTATGGCCTGAGAGGGGAAACTGTCCCCTACTTAGCCACCCAAACTATTCACTGGGACACCCTGGATTTTTCTGGGGAAACAAAAGCTGGCCCTTTCTGAGCTTGAGCATGCCGACGGGATTAAACAGAGGCAATGTAGCCACAGGAGAAGACACCTGCATACAAGCCGTCCTGTCACTTAAAAAAAAAAAAAATCATCCCCATCTGCAGCCCGCTGAGCTGCAGCCCCCACTGCTCCTCTCCCACTGCATGGAGGATGAGCGATGGCCTGAGCCGCTCCGCTCCCGGGTGACGTTTCCCCTTCCCCTGGGGAAATCACAGTTCTCATCTGGAAACGCTTAACTTTCAACCCGAGAGCAGATGTGCCAAACGGCACACAAACAGCGTGGCTGGCCCGCCAGCCGCAGCGTCTGTTCCAGCTGCAGACGGTCTCTGCGGCCTGTCCAACCCGCATCACGTTCACGGTGGGGATTTTACTGGGGGGGCTTAAAGGGGGGAGACACTGAGCCTCAATTTCATGCCAAACAAACTACCCTGCAGTCGCCACCCTTCCGCAGAGCAAGAGAGAGGAAGGAGCTGCGTTGCTTGTACACGTTGTGCTGCTCTGGACAGCTCAAAGGGGCCTTAGAAGGGGCAAAAACAGCCCCGAGAATCCACCCTGTGTGGGGCCTCCTGGGTCACTTTGGAGCTGGCAGAAGGGCTCTATGCAGATGGTGGATCTTGGGCATAGATGGCAGATATGGGGGATGTATGGCAGATCAGGGGTGTGGCTGGAAAGCACTGTGCTACTTCTCTGTCTCCCAGGGACCATGGAAAACAGCATGTAAGTTAGAGCAACCCTGAGGCTGCTCTAATGTACACTGGGGGACAGACAGGGCCCTGCACAGCGCCACTATATGGGAAGTGGAAAGAGGACTTAAAGCCATCCCTGTCCCAGCCACAGCAAGAGAGTGACTGAGAACCAGACCTCTGCCTTTGGTTTGTGCCTCTCCAGCTCTCTACCACGTTGTACCCAAGCACCTGCCCCCACCACCCAGGGCTCACCACATACCCAGGCATGAGCTCCTGAGATTCAACCCATGCCCTGCATCATGGCTGTGGACTCAGCCACCCTGGTGAGAATTGCCCCTTGATCAGGGCGCTGCAACGAGCCAGGGGCCACACATGTAATGGGAGGAAAACCTCCTCCCCAGTCTCTTCCCTCAGACCCAAGTGGGGTAGCTACATCCAGCTGTGGGACCCACTGGGGGCAGGAAGCCATCTGCATGCTATGGCCCCTCTGTGCTGGCTACACTGATGCAAAGGGGCCATAAAGCCTCTGGGCTAATACCTCCCATCATAGAGGGCTGAGTTCACTGGCCCTGTAGGAGCCCGGGTGCAGTGCAGTGGGCTAGGAGGGGGCATGGCTTGGCCACTCCCCTCAGTTGGTGCAACGCTATTGCAGCTGAGCACAAGTTAAGGCAGATTTCAGGGATGCCTCAAGTCGCTCCAGGATAAGGGAAGCACAGAACTTCCCCCCTCGCTCCCTGTGCCGGGCTCAGCACTGGCATGGGATGAGGCCAGGCCTGAGATACCTCAGCAATGAGCCCAGGTAAGTAGAGAGAAACAGATCACGAAGCTTTGATCCAGCCTTGTCTTATGGGATGGTTTGTACCAAATGGAGGCGTCAGGTTCACTTCATACTTCAGGCAGCTTGCAGGCCCTTTTCTGTCTGACTGCACCTGCTCTAGAAGAGCTCATGTGGCATGTGTCCGCCCCTGTCCATCTCAGATCCCTGGAAACCTCCTGCTCCAAAAGCCCCTGTCTCTTGAACTAAAGGAGAATCTCCACAAGCGATTAGCAGCAGAGGCTATATGACACACAGATGAGCAGTTCTGAGCCCATCCAGAAGGGGGCAGAAGTAGCAGACATCTATCTACATCTCACCTACAAAGGGGTCAGTTCAGTGCTAGCAGCTAGTTTGTGCTTCACCCCACCCCTTTCCTTTCTGCAGGCCTGGTCATCTATGGCATTCTGGCTCCGTCTGCTCCTGCTTAGCCAGCCTCACCTGCGATTGGAAGCAGGGTCTCCAGCTGTGAAAGGGGCCATACGGCCCTGACCCTGAGAAATACTGGGGGGCTTCAAAGACCATGTCCCACCGAGCAAGATGCCCTGCTGAGCTGCACAGCCCCACCCCGCCATCTAGTGGCCCTTTTGCAGCACTACATCTATGGCACAACCCAGGTTCATTGACACACAGGCTGGGATTGACCCCCACGAACACTCCATCAGTGAGACCAGAGCCCCGATTCATCCCCAGGGCAGGGTCATGCTGGGGAGAGGGGTGGCCTTAAGGTACCGCCCCATCAGGGATTCACAGACACCGAGCTGCCAAGTTTTGCACAGCTCCATGTGTGACCCTGTAACGCAGATGATTGAATGAGCTAATTTGCAAATGATTTGTATCTTGCCATAATCTTCAATCACCACCCTCTCCCCGAAGCAGTGACGGGGAGAGGGCCTGGAGCTGCATGAATGTTGCCAGCTCCAAGGCTGGGGTAGGTAGGGAGGTGGGTGCTGTTGTTGTACTGAGATCTGTGCCTTTAAGGGCTGAGCTTCCCAGCCAGAAGATCTCTTGCCAGCACCCGACCTGCTGAGTGATCACTAAGCATCCCAGCTGTTACTTAAAGTCTTTCAGCTGGATGGTTTGTATGAAAGCAGCACCCAAAACCGAAGCTCAGATGCTACGGTGATGGGGACCTTACGGGGACCTTCAATGAGACCAAGCAGAACTGCGCCTTCTCTGAAGCAAAGGGGGAAAAGAAAAGAGGCAGACAGACGGACAGCCACACTCACTTGCAAAGAAGAAAGATCCTAGTTCCCGGGAAGCGGAGGGCAAAGCTCATTCCTCTTTCGCCCTCAGGATTCGGAGCAGCATTGAGTGAACTTCTTCATCCATGAACCCCTGAGCCGGAAGAAACCCCATCCCCTATCAGCGTGTTGTTCTCTTGTGGACCCCAAACATACAGGGGTCCACAGTCTGGCTTGAGACACGTGCCAGCAGCCCTCCCCCCCACCCCCCGCCACCAGCACTGGGCTTGCCATTCTGCACCACAGCACCCCCTTGTGGAGGGCCAGTGCGTGCTTCAGCCACTGCCTCACAAGCTCTGCCGGGGGAAAGCAGTTTTCCTTTCTGCTCCAGCATCCATCCATAAGGGCCTGTCAGGCAGAGCCTCTGCTGCCAGGATCTGTCAGATCTGCACGGCCCCTGGCTCTGCCCCATCCACGCCCAGTGCTGCCCACTTTCAGGCAGCCCGCTTTCTCCCCCAGCAGAGAGACAGCTGTGGCTTGCAGGGCTACAACTTCCCCACCCGTGGCTGTGCAGTGCTGGAGACCCTGCACCCTGGCATAAGCTTGGGGAAATCTAGCCCCTTGACTGTGCGAGGCACCTCCCGATCAGCCCCGTGCACTGTGATCCGCCATGCGGGTTGGGTTGCTCCGGATGCTGGAGCCAGAAATAGGACTCAGGACTCCCAATCCAGTGCTCTAACCACTAACCACTCCCCTCCAACCACTCCCCTCACTTCCAGAGCTGGGGTTGACTACCAGTTCCCCCTCGTCTAACCACCAGCCACCACTCCCCTCCGAGAGCTGAGATTAAATCTCAGGCATCCTGACTCCCAGGCCCCGCTGTTCCAGCCCACAGTACCTCCTCCGTGCTACGAGTCTAAAGCACTCAAGCCAGTTATCTTGTAGAGTTCAGTGAGAACCTTTTAAGCTTCTGTGGAGAATCACCTAATGGTTATGGGAACCAGTAGGAGCAGAAATTTATTGAAATCTACCTGAAGCCACACAAGCCTTAGCACCAACCCAGACTGTCTGAGGTTTGTACCTGGGCTGCATTGAGCAGATGGGTTCTGTAGATAGTAACAATCTCCTGGTGATTTTTTTCCTTAACCTGGGAAAACAAAAATATACCGTGCTGGTGAGTTTCAATCTGCCAGCAGGTGTTTGTATTTCTATTATGGTAGCACCCCAGAAGAGATCAGAGACCCATTATGCCGGAAGCTGCATGTGCACAGGGTAAGAAAAAGTCCCTACCTCCAACTGCTTACAAATGAAATAGACAAAGGGTGAGAGGGGAAACTGAGGCACAGAGAGGGACTTGCTCCAGGTCGCATAGGAGGTCAGTGGCGGAGCCAGGTCACCTGAGTCCCAGTTCAGAGCAGCTATCCACTAATCACGCTGCCTCTCAGACCTATAAATAGCACCCTGAATGCAATCCGGATGGATGAACCTTGCAATCTGAATGACTATTGTGCTGGGTATTAGTAGGTTGCACAGCCCAGGTGAACCGGCACCTCCCACTGTAAAAACGCCCACAATCACCTGGCCTGGCGAGCAGACACCGTGTGTTCAGAGCATTCCTATAGCAGCAGGGCGACATGCGACTCACCTCTAACTGCAGCCGGAGACGAGCACTCTCACTGCGGAGGGCCAGGATCTCTGCTGAAAGCTTCTCCGTCTCCTTCAGCAACTTTTTAATCTACAGTTCAATGACAGAGAATAAAGTCCTGTGGCACATTGGGTTCCATACAGCCATCTCCTCTGCGGGCGTAAATCAGTTTTCTTCCCTCTACATCAAAGCTGCTAGGCCAATTTACACTCACTGGGGACTTGGCCCCGAGGATGTTGCAACTAACCGCTGCCCAACTAGATCTGGTCAAAAATATTTCAGCGAAACAGTTTGCTGTTGGAAAATGCAGCATTGTCAAAACTGAAACGTTTGCAGGAACGCGTCAATTTCGAAGACGGTTTTCTAGGGGGAAAAAAGTCAATCCGAATCATTTTGACTTTTGACGTTAGCACAACAGAACAAACATGTAGTTTCTGTAAAGACATTTCATTTCGAGGTGTGTGTCAATTCATTTCATGTAGACTTTTCTCTTAGATGAAACTATGAAAATGAATATCCTATATTTAGGTACGATACGTATTTGATCTGATCCAATCATATTTTCATCTAATATGAAAGTCAAACCAACGTGGATCAAACTGATAGCCAAAATGAAATATCTTTATCCGACTGAAATGAAACGTTCTGACATTATTGAAACAAAACAACCCGATGCTTCCAAATTGAATGTTTTACAGAATTTTCCATTTCATGGGAGATGCCAGTTTCTGACCCCCAACCCTTTTCATCTGTAGCTCCTGACACTGTGCTCCTGGCCCTCGTTGCTTTTTAATGGGTGATTCAGGGAACTAGGGCTGGGATAGACACTAATCATGGGCTCTGAATCCAGCCTGGTTCGGGAATGACTGACAGCTGTTCCCATAGGGTGGCGAGTCAGAAGCTCCTGTGTGAAATGGGGTTGGTGAGTCTCAGGCCAGTTTCTGCTGAAAATCCCGTAAAATTTACAGGGATGATCCAAATTGCTAAGGCTTGTAATAAGAGGGCTCTATTCAGATAAATAGTTATTAGCTATGGTGCCGGATTGTTCCTGGGGCTGGTAGGATCAATGAAAACTTGAGCATGTTCTGGGCATCTCTACATACCAGCTCGTGACCCCCCGCCTTCTCCACTTCTAGTGCCTTGGGCCAATACTGCAGAACACTGCAGGGCCTGATTCTCAGTTGTACTATCTTTTACACTGCAGGGCACCTGAAAATCAGGCCCTTGGTATTTTCAATGAGGGTGAAACCCCCTGGTCACAGGACAATGTTCCAGTGTGAGTTAACAGTCAGACCCTGAGCATTGCTTCCAGAGCTGGAGAACATTGAAAGGACCATGGCGTGAGACCCTCAAAGCCGACTAGGAGATTCAGGCACGTTGGGTGTCCAAACCCCCCTTTGAAAATCTCAACCAACAGCATCGCAAGGCTGATTTCTGCCCTGGGAGCATCAGCTGTAAGCCCCACGGAAGCTGGACATGCAAGTCCAGGGACTTGCTGTGGGATGTCGTGCCAGGGAAGCAGGTGATCCTGCTGAGAAGGCAGCTTTGGAGTATGTGGAGACACCATCACCTTCAGTCCCTTCCTCTTACATCTATAGGCTGGTGTAAGTCAGCATAGCTCCATTGAAGACAATGAAACTACCCTGATTTATACCAGCTGAAGATCTCAGCCACCATCAAAATCAATGGGAGTCTTTCTGTTGGTTCAGTGGGTGCTGTGTCCGGCCCTACATTAATAGGCCTCTGGCCAGCTCCAGACGTCTCTGTGGCCTTACCTTCCCTTCTTTGTCCTGGCAGGTCCTGGAGAGCTCCTCCACCTTCTTGTTCAGCTTCTGGATGGTTCTCTCCAGCTGCTCCGACTTCCCCCTCAGCTCTCCTATTTCCTTCTCCTGCTCCGCCACCTTGGCCAGCAGGTCCTTGTTCTTATGCTTCTCTGCAGCCAGGGCCTCCTCTCGCTGGGCGCACTTCCCCCTCACCTCCTCGTGCTTCTCCTGAAGGGCTCGCAGCTCCTCTTCCAGAGCCTGAGTCCGGAGTGCCAGGGAGCTCCAGGCCTTCTCGTGCATCCGCAGGGTCTCCTCCTCCTCCGAGCACAGCTCTGCCACCTTCATGGGCAGTCGGTCGAGCATCTGCTTCAGCTTGGTCACATCATGGCTTTCACCTCCCAGGGTGGCCTGAGCTGCCTCGAGCTCCTCCTTCAGCTCCCACAGATCTCTCTCCAGCTCATTCACCCATCGCCAGGGCTCAAGCACCAGCTCTCCTCCCACGATCTCCAAGGTCTCGGACGCTTCCTGACCAAGGGCCTGGACACTGTTGCTTTGAGGGCTTTTCTCACCCCCCACGGAGGTGTCAATAGCCTCGCTCTGCATGGCGGGAGCCTGGTCGCCCCCGAGCACCTGGCTCTCCTCTTCTATCTCCGACACCAGCTGCAGGGCCTCGTTGTGCTTCTTCACCAGGTTGTCCAGTTTCCAGTGCAGCTCCTCCAAGATGCAGGTGCTTAGGCTCTGGCTTCCCATGCTGTTGGCCTCTCCCATCATCTGCTTGAGGAAGCTGTCCCTCAGCACCACCATCTCCCTCTTCTGGGTCTCTAGCCTTAGCCTCAGCTTCTTGGTCTCTTCCTTCTCGGCTGAGAGCTCCTGGGACAAGGCGGCCACTCTCTGCCTCAGCTCCTCCACCAGGCCCTGCGCCTCTCCTCGGGGGGACCCTTCCTTCTGGTGCTGCCAGAGACGCTGGAGCTCATCCTGCAGCTTCTCCCTCTCCTGGCCCAGCTGGGCCAGCTCGTTCATGAGGCTGCCATTGTTCTGTCTGAGGTCCGACAGCTCTTTCTCTAGGTCAGAGCTTCTCCTCCTGGCCTGGCCCTTCGTTTCCACAGAATCGTTCCTCAGCCTAGGTCTGGGTTGCCCATGGGGGCCATCTTGGATCTGGTTCTTTTCCATCCTGCCCTTCTCCAGCTCCTCCAGGGATTGAGGTTGCCTCAGTGGGGACTCTGCCTCATCTCTGAAGACGTTATTCTCTTCCTCACGCTGCTCCAGGCCATTTCTCAGCTCCTGGAGCTGGGAAGCCACCATGCCGTTTACTAAGACCCCTGACTCCTGCTTGCTCTGAGGGGCCGAGATGGCTTCCTGAAGAGGCCTGGCTTTCTCCAGGAGGCTGAAGTTGGCCTCATCCATCTTGGCCAGAGCATGTTCTAAGCCCACCACCATCTTCTCCCAAGAGGCCACGCTCTTCCTGATGGCTTCCGATGGCACCGCCTCGAGGTGAAGTTTGCCTCTGAGGGTCTCCTCTGCCTCCCTCTTCAGATCCTTGTTTTCGGCAAGGACCGCAGCCTTCTCCTCCTGTGCTCTGGCAGCCCCCTCCCTCATCCATGACAGGAATTGGCCTAGCTCAGTGCAGAGAGCGACTCTGGGCCCTCTCGGATCCACCTCCTGCCTTCCCGCCTTCTGCCTTTCTCCCTGCTGCTTTCCCAGCAGCCCGCGCAGCCGTTGGTTGTCGCCGTCGAGCTCAGCGACACGAGCCTGCAGCTGCTCCAGCGCCTCATCCTGGGCCCGCTTCTTGGCCTCGTAGACGGCGATCACCGCCCTCATGTTCTCCAGATGGCCTTCGAGCTCCACCACCCTCTTTGCCGCGCTCTCCTTCTCCTCCAGGGCCGTGGCCACTTCGGCCTGGAGCCGCATCAACTCCTCCTGATGGCGTCTCTTCTCCTCCTCTTCCTCCTCCCCCGGCCACTGTATCCAGTCTTCCTTCACTGCTACGTTCTGGCCTCCTGCCTCTTGCTGTCTCTTCTTCAACTCTTGCACTTGCTCAGCCAAAAGGTTCAGGTAATAGTCCTCTTCTGTGGTGTCCCGGCTGTACCGGCGGCTCAGCACCCGCCTGCCCTCATCTGCCCTCTCCGGCAACAGCTGGCTTATCTCCTGCACCTGGTCCCAGATCCTCTCCTTCATCACCTTGCACCCCTCCGCCAGGGCATCACACTCCTTCGCCTTCCTCACCAGCTGCTCTTCCAGCTGCAGGACCTTCGTCTGCTCGTCTTCATACCGACACCTCCACTCCTCGGCGTCGAGGTCCTCTTCGTCCTCCTCGGCGTCTCTGCCTCCCTCGCTCTGCAAGTTTATGCTGCTGCCGCTGCGCTCTGGTGGCTCGGCGGTCACCTGGAACCACCACAGAACCCAACAGAACAGATGAGCTTATTGGAGAGGCACACCGTGACCTCACACGCACGGTGGGTGCGAGGTTGCACGTCACGGAAGACGCCATTTTGCGCTTCAAAATGGCATCCCCCCAGATTGCCCAGGGCCCTGGCAGGAAAGACTTCATTAAAATGGAGTCATGCCAGCAAAAATTTGGAACCCCCTGCCCTCTAGGTACGTGCAGCACCCAGCACATTGAGGACCTTTAGGTGCTACTGTCCTATACATAACAAGGACAAAAGTCAGCCAGACACTCTCCAAGGGGATGGGTACTAGTAGGTGGAGCCTTTTCCCTTCCCAATAGACCTTAGGTCGCCAGTTCTAATCTGCTCCTCGGCTGGTAGGGACTGCAAATCACTGCTTTTGCTGGCATTCTATGTGAACCAAATTGGTGGGGAAAAGGCCCAGTTCTGCCCCTAGCACCATCGTTTACACCAGTGCAGAAAACGCAAGCAGATGAGAAGAGCAGTTTTGTGCACCCATTTTGCATTGGGGTCACAGATGCTGCCAGGGGACGGCGCTGGGGAATCAAGCCCTCGGTTTCAGGCCTCGTAACAGCATCATCATCAGGGCTGAGGCTTCTCAGCCGCCCTGATCCATTCCAACTCCCCCCCCCCACCCGACCCTCCATGTGTAACCAGGGGTTGCAGAGTTTATCACTGAGTAACACACCCAAGAAGCTTCGACACACCTCCAGTCTTTCTCTGGCTGGCCCCGAAAGGGGTCTCCTCACCTGTGCATTGGTGCTTGTTTGACAGCTGGATCCATACTCTGCCAGAGGGAAAATAAAAACACTGAATGAAATTTTCAAACTCTCTGTAGCGCAGAGTGGAGAGTTGCTTTGCCCCTGGGCAGCCCCTGCCTTCTGGATCTCCCAGCTCCTCACAAGCAGGAATTCAGCAAGTGAGGTGGGTAATGGGTCGTCCCCATCTGACCAGTGACAACAGCTGTGACTCGGCCAAGGTCTCACAGCGAATTTGTAGCCGAGCCAAAAATAGAACCTAGGAGTCCTGACTCCCAACTTCAACCGTGGGAGCACACTCCCGTCCTAGAGCTAGCTGCAAAACCCAGGAGTCCTGACTGCCAGTCCTCTGCCCTAACTACCAGGCAATACTCCTCCCCAGAGGTAGAACTAGAACCTGGGGGTTCCAACTTCCAGACCACTGCTTTAAAACAATGGACATCACCATTGGGTAAACTGAGGCACCGAGAGGGGATGTGACTTGCCCAGCATCACCCAGTAGCAGAGCCAGATCTCCTGATTCCCAGTCCTGTGAGTTCACCACAAGGCTGAATTTTCTCCCTAAATGCAAAGCTTTCTCATTATCCTCAACAAAACTTGCTGAGATTCTTTTGGAAATCTTCCGGCAGTTTATTTTTTGGCTCTGGCTCTGGTCCCCCATCCACCAGGCAGTCGCCATGGAAACCAAAGCCTAGCAAGCAGAACGAGGAAGACAAGGGTCCCCTGGATATTACATTTCGCCAACTCCCGCCAAGCCCGATTATTGCTTTTAGAAATCAAAACCATCTGGAGAAGCTGCCAGAGGCTGGAGACCTCCTTGCAAATGAACTAAACAAACACACATTAAAAAAAAAAAAAACCAACAAAAAATCAATATCCTGCCCGAGCGAGGCTGGGTGTAGTCCAACCAAACGAGCCAATTAGAGGCACAAAGGGAAAAGTTGGGGGGGGGGGTAACAGTTTTTGCTGCTTTCTCAGGCATTTCTGCAACTTGGAATGAAGGGAAATGCGACCTAATAACTAATAGCGGCCATGTTACCAATGGCTCGCAGCAGAGGGTCCCCCAAGCCCTTTAGAAGCATCCTCCGGGGTGGGAAATGTGTCCCGCACTCAGCATGCTTCTTGCATTAATCTTTGATAGTTGTGCCAGCCTTGCATTTTGGATCGCTCAGCCACTCCTAGACGTTCAGCTGGAAGGGACCGTTGTGATCCTGTAGATCCTCCTGCCCATCACAGGCCACAGAACCTCGCCCACCTGCGCCTGCAACAGGCCCCTGACCTCTGGCTGTGTTACTGGCCTTGTCTGATCTTGATGTAAAACCTTCAAGTGATAGAGGATCTGCCAGTTACTCTAGTTCAAACCAGCAAGGGGCCCGTGCCACATGCTGCAGAGGAAGGTGACCCCCCCCCGGGCCCGCAATCCCTTCCTGACCCCCAAACTGGCAGCCCCTTCCCCTCACCTCTTCTATTCCTCTTCTTCAGGGCACTGTGCAGCAGCCTCCTCAGTGGGCGGCTCTGGGACTGCAGGGCATAGTGGAGGGCGTCGTGGCCCGTCCTGTCCACCACGCTGAGGTCCGCCCCACTGCTTACCAGCAGCTTGGCTGACTCCACACTGGAGCTCTCACAGGCCAGGATCAGAGCAGTCCTGGAGGGGGGGACGTGAGGGGGTGTCAGGGTCAGTTCTGGGGAGCCCCAAGGGCACCCCTTGCAGCCAGGCCACCTGGATAATCTGTGGGTGGCTCCCCCTCAGATGGGCCTCTCTGCTCTGGCTCACTGGAGCAGCTCCCATTTAGGGCAGCAGTTCTTAACCTTTCCTGTACAAGGCCCTCCAACCAGGGGCTGCCCCTTGTTGTCTGGCCCCGACCCCTCCCCAGGTAGTAATACAGGAAGGGCAGGCTGGCTGCAAGCGCCTGACTCCCAGCCATGACCCCCATCTCGGCTGGTCCCGGCCCCCAAGCCAGGCTGAGAAATTTTAGGGGACTCCTGTAACAACAGGCTAGTTCCCCTGAGCCAGCTGTCCCATGGACCCACAGCAGCTCCCAGAAGCAGAGGCTTCTGGGAAATTCTGAAAGGCCTTGGGGGTCACCTCGTGAAACCTGGGGACAGTGGGTAGATGACGTCCCATAATGAGACAAGAATGCCCATAATGCCCCTGGGCAACTGCCCTCCCCCCATTCCCTGATGAGAATGTCCATAATGCCCCTGGGCAACTGCCCCCCCCATTCCCTGGTGAGAATGTCCATAATGCCCCTGGGCAACTGCTGCTCCCCCCCCCACCCCCATTTCCCAGGGGGAAACCCCCCACAATGCCCCTGGTGCTAGTGCTGTTTTTATTCTCAGAGCCCAGGCAAGACTCACTTCTGGTCCTTGTCGGTGAGGTTGCCGCTGGCCCCTCTCTGGAGCAGCTGGCAGCAGATGGCCGGGTGGTTCCCCATGGCCGCTATCATCAGGGGCGTGCGTCCGTTCTGGAAGGAACGGCAGAGGCGGTTAGCGTGGCAGGCTGCGTGGAGCCCCACCCAAAGCCGGCGCGGCTTCCCAGCACTCAGCAGCCGGGAGCTGGCTCCCCGAACCCTTACAAAGGTTACGTAGCCCCTAGCCTGTGCCCTCCGCATGGGGAGCGAGTTTCACCCCTCGTGAGAGTCGTTCAACCAAGCCCTGTCCCGAAGCGGGTTTTACACTCACGTTATCGGTGACATCCAGGAAGGCCTCCTGGTCACACAGGAGCAAGACGCTGGACGCACACCCCGAGGAGGCTGCAGGGCAGGAGAAAAAGGAGCGGTCAGTGCTCGAAGGACACACCCAGCTGCTGCCACATGGAGGGGGGAACCATATGCCTATCAGCCCCGGCTGCCCAGCGCCCCAGGTACGCCCTCTCTCAAGGGCCAGTGAGGGAAGGAGTCTTCAGTCTGACCTTCGTCACTCGAGACCGCCTGAAGCTGGGGCCTTGCTCTCTGCACAGGGCGGTTCTTCAAATAAGGTGAGACCCAAGCAAGGTCATTTCTCCACATGGGTTTAAACCCGCAGGAGGGGGTGGCGGGGAGAGATCTGTTAGGACATCCTCTCCCCACCATCCTCTCCCAGGGGATATTTACAGCTAGACTGGGCAAGCCAGGCAGCATTGGCCAAAAAGGTAGACTAGAGACTAGATGGGACCGGGCACTCTAGGTTTGTTCCGTCTCCGATCGCTGGGGTCCTCTCCTTGAAGGTGAGTGTTGGGGGGAATGGCTGGAACACAATCCACTGCCCTGATCCAGCTCCTGCAGTCTGGTTCCCCACCCGCTATCTCTGCAGGGCAATAACCCGGGGACTCGGGCGGCTTGTAGGGACTGGTCTATTTTGCCCACACTCAAATCAGCCCTTGCAAGGTCCATATGACCCCTGGCTGGCTGTCACGTGATCAATGGCGATGCCCAGTGGACATGCACGGCACTGCGCATTGTCAGCATCCCATCCCTACGGTTGGACAGACAGATGGATTGAAGGGGGCTGGACAGACAGACACATGTCTGGGGATGGAGCGAGAGGTGGACAGAGGTACATCAGGGGATAGAAAGACAAGCAGGTAGATAGGACAAACAGGCAGGTTTGCACGGCAATAGACAGACAGACACATGCGGGGATGGTGAGGTCTAGAGAGAGAAGACTCTAGGGATGCCCATGGGAGACCTGCCTCGTGTCTGTCTCTCTAGCACGGCAACAAGAAGACGATCGTGATGGGAGGGAACTCGTCAGATCTCCCTGCTGGGAGACAGGGCCCCAGCCAGGTCTCAGCCCCCTCCGGCTGTCTTCAGGAGCCCAGACTCAGCCTCCCCTTGCTGATCAGCCCAGCTCCAAGCCCCTCACCCCTCAGCCCCATTAGAAGATCTGCCCTGACGCACTCAGCCTTTCCCCTCGTCCGACTCAGCCTGCACCTCCAGGGACTCACTCACCGGCCCAGTGTAGGGGGGTGCGGTTCTCACCATCCACGCAGTCCTCATTGGCGCCGTGCTACGAGGAACAAATGTGGCTGTGAGGGCAGCACAAGAGAATGGCCACCTCCCCTTCGCCAATGGCCCAGGGGGCGGCTAGAGCACAGAGCCGCGGACCCACCTCCTGCTCCAGAGCAAGACCTGGCCCAGCTGACATGGGACAGCAGGAACCCTCACTTTGGGGTGAGCCAAGCAGGGCTTCCAGGTATCCAGGACAGATGATGCCCCTCAATTAAGTGGCTAAGGCACTGGCATGGGACTCCAGACACCTAGCTTCTAGCCCCAAGGCCGCCACGGACTCCCTGTGTGACCTTGAGGCAAGTCACTTTTTATATATATATATATATATATATATATATATATATATATATATATATATATGTATGCCTCAGTTTCCCCATCTGTAAAATGGGGTTAATGACCATTCCTCTGGCTTTGTTTAGACTCTCAATTCATTGGGGTCGGGACAGTCTTTGACTGTGTTTGTACAGCCCAGAGCACAATGGAGGCCCCACAGTGCTGCCCAGCACAGATCTGGGAAGACAGGAGATCTAGTTTCCCCATCTCCAGCACTGACTCACTGCAGAACTTCGGGCGAGACAACCCCCACCTGTCTGAGCCTCCGCTTCCCCAGTGGTAAAGTGGGGCTAATTATCCAGGCAGCCAGCGGCTTAATTCAGGAACAACTGTGCCGTCTCCCCAGCGCCTTCTCTCAGAGGATCCCAAGGTATCAGTTCATCTCGAGGGGTTTTGCTGGCTGCTTACAGGCCAAACAGCCAACACAGTAAGTCGTCAAGCAGGAATTTGCTCACTGCCCTGAGCTAAGAGACAACGCCTGTTTCATTTCTGTCTTGCCCATTTCTACCCTGTCACCTCCAGACTGAAACTCCCCAGCCACACCTTACCATGCAGGAGGGAAATGATGAGCCCCAGAGCAGCTCAAATGCCAGGAGACGGGGCACAGCCACTGCTGGGCTGGGTTAGGGCATGGTAGCCTCATGGGATGCCACCCACAGAGCCAGGAGGAGTCTGGGGCCTAGTTTCTGATTTCTGGGTTTGCTGGAGGAAATGCAGACCAGCTCCCTCTACATCTGGGGTTACTCCAGATCAATAGTGGGGTAATGGAGAGTAGAAATTGCACCTGTGCATGCCGGGCTCTGAAGGGGACCCTCCATTTCCCCCCCCCCTCTCTAGAACCCAGGCGTCCTGATTCCCAGTCCCCCCCGCTCTAACCACTAGACCCATAGACCAGATAGCCCATCTTTTCTTAAAGGAGAACCCAAGAGGTCCTGGCCCCTGATCCAACCAGCAGACCCCGCTGCTGCGTCCTACAGACCCTGTCAGTGAAAGTGAAGCGAGTCTGTATGGAAATCAGACGGATCCTGTGGCTGTCCAACTGATGGCTTGAGACCCCCGCCGGGAACACCCCTGTGCCCAGCCCGGAGCAGGAGGGCAGGGAGGGGCATTTGTCATCTTTACCTGCAGAAGAACCTTCACGCACTGAGGCTGGCAGGCGATGGTGGCGAGGTGCAACGCCGTGCTGCCTGGGGAGAAGAGCAAAGGGAGAGCATCACGTCTCGGGAACAGAGAGCTGAGCCCCACCCGGAGCTGGGGGGGTCTGTGGCTCGCTGTGGGTGCGTGGAGCAGGGGTGAAAATAGCGTAACCTCTCCCGGGGAGGGGGGAAGCCAATCAGCCCCTAGATTCATCTCAGGGCTCAACATGCCGGCTGCATGTTGAGCCCTGAGATGAGTCCAGGGATCCTGATTGTGGGGGGCAGGTTCGGGACATGCCTAGGGGCAGTGCCAGGGTCTGCGGTGGCACCAGGCATGTGGCTGGCTGGGGCTGGCTCACCTGCTCAGGGTCTCACTGGTTATCATAGGTGGGGTGGGGAAGGAATTATCCCCCCGGCTCAGATCGGCAGGGACCATGGGGCATGGAGGTTGCCTCCTTTGCAGTGTGTGGGTGCCAGAATTATCTGGGTGTACCTCACTTCATCAGTTCCCTGCCACTGCAGGGACCCCGGGGCCTCCTGTTCTCTGCCTGTGGCACAGAACAGCCTGGTCTCATTAACTTTGGTCTCATTTCAGATGCTGTGCTGGGTGTGCAGTGCTGGGTGGTGCTGGTGGCCTGTGATACGCAGGAGGACAGACAAGATGATCTAATGGTCCTTCTGGCCTTAAACTCGGTGACTCCTGCGGCCATTGGAGGCCATGGAAAGACGACTCCCCCAGGCTTTCGATCAGGCCCTGAGAAGGCACCTGCATTCCAGCTGGGTGAGCGGGCGTCTCAGCAATGGAAAAGCCATTCCGACAGAATATGGCCAAGGACAGGAGCAGCGACTATGGTGACACAAACCAGAGCAAGGACAAGGGCTACTAATTTTCACACGAAGAGAGGGAGACAATTTAGCTAATCTGGGCTGACAGTATGCAGGAAATGTGATAAGACCAACCGCTGGTCTATTCCAGCATGGCAAGAGTTAATGTCCTCTTGTTATTATCTGTTTTGCAGTAGCACTTAGTCCGGAACCAGGACCCCAGGGCTAGATGGCCCATTGATGTGTTCCAGTGAGGCAGAAGGTGGGATACCAGCCAAGGGGCTGGGCCCAAAGCCCACTGAAGTCACTGATTTCAGTCAGCTCTGGACCAAGCACCCCATGGACCGCTGGGCAGGAGCTGGGACTAGCCTACCTGGACTATTTATCTGTATGGGCCGGGCAGGAGACGTGATGCTGGATTGGAGGGGCCAGTGATCTGAGTTGGCCTGCCAGAGGGCAGGATGGCTATTAGCTTAGATGGAGCATCGGTCCAGGCCAGTCCTGCACTCTCTGCTCCTCTGCCAAGCCAGGGAAAACCCTACACGTACCGTCATCATTCTTCTCATTGACTTCGGCCCCATGAGACAGCAGGATGGTCAGGCACTCGGTGAGCCCTTTGGAAGCTGCCAGATGGAACCTGCAAAGAGGCGAAGAGCCAAGACTCATTGCAGGCCCGGCGTGAAACTCACCAAGTGACCTGTATTCTTGGAGGGCAGTGAACTTTCCACCCTAAAGCCATTGTCAGAGAATAACTCCAGCTTGCTTCCTGGAGAGGACCATGGGAGAATCCCTGATGTGTCTAATGGCTAGAGCAGAGATAAGGCAGCCAGGACTCCTGGATTCTATTCCTAGCTCCAGGAAGGGGGTGGGATCTAGTTGGTTAGAGCCGGGAACAGGATGCCTAGTTTCTATTCCTGGCAGGGGAGCATGAACTACTTTGATTAGACCAGGAATGAAGAGCCAGGTCTCTGGGTACTATTCTTAGCTCTGGAAGGGGAGCGTAAGCAAGTGGTCGGAGCAGGGAATGAGGTGCCAGGACTCCTTGGTTCTATTCCTAGATCTAATGCCCCTACTCTACTTGCACTATATTGATGACATCTTTGTCATCTGGACCCATGGAAAAGAAGTCCTTGAGGAATTCCACCATGATTTCAACAATTTCCATCCCACCATCAACCTCAGCCTGGACCAGTCCACACAAGAGGTCCACTTCCTGGACACTACGGTGCTCATAAGTGATGGTCACATAAACACCACCCTATACCGGAAACCTACTGATCACTATTTCTACCTACATGCCTCCCACTTTCACCCAGATCACACCACACGATCCATTGTCTACAGCCAAGCTGTACGATACAACCGCATTTGCTGCAACCCCTCAGACAGAGATAAACACTTACAAGATCTCTATCAAGCGTTCTTACAACTACAATACCCACCTGCTGAAGTGAAGAAACAGATTGATAGAGCCAGAAGAGTACCCAGAAGTCACCTACTACAGGACAGGCCCAACAAAGATAATAACAGAACGTCGCTAGCCATCACCTTCAGCCCCCAACTAAAACCTCTCCAACGTATCATCAAGGATCTACAACCTATCCTGAAGGATGACCCATCACTCTCACAGATCTTGGGAGACAGGCCAGTCCTTGCTTACAGACAGCCCCCCAACCTGAAGCAAATACTCACCAGCAACCACACACCATATCACAGAACCACTAACCCAGGAACCTGTCCTTGCAACAAAGCCTGTTGCCAACTGTGTCCGCATATCTATTCAGGGGACACCATCACAGGGCCTAATCACATCAGCCACACTATCAGAGGGTCGTTCACCTGCACATCTACCAATGTGATATATGCCATCATGTGCCAGCAATGCCCCTCTGCCATGTACGTTGTTCAAACTGGACACTCTCAACATAAAAGAATAAATGGACACAAATCAGAGGTCAAGAATTATAACATTCATAAACCAGTCGGAGAACTCTTCAATCTCTCTGGTCACTCGATTACAGACCTAAAAGTCGCAATATTACAACAAAAAGACTTCAAAGACAGACTCCAACGAGAGACTGCTGAATTGGAATTAATTTGCAAACTGGATACAATTAACTTAGGCTTAAATAGAGACTGGGAGTGGATGGGTCATTACACAAAGTAAAACTATTTCCCCATGTTTATTCCCCCACCACCACCACTTTTCCTCAGACATTCTTGTCAACTGCTGGAAATGGCCCACCCTGATTACCACTACAAAAGATTTTCTTCCCCACACCCCCACTCTCCTGCTGGTATTAGCTCATCTTAAGTGATCACTCTCCTCACAGTGTGTATGGTAACACCCATTGTTTCATGTTCTCTGTGTATATAATTCTCCCCAATGTATTTTCCACTGAATGCATCCGATGAAGTGAGCTGTAGCTCACGAAAGCTTATGCTCAAATAAATTGGTTAGTCTCTAAGGTGCCACAAGTCCTCCTTTTCTTTTTGCGAATACAGACTAACACGGCTGCTCTGAAACCATTCCTAGATCTAGTTAGTACATATGTCACCATGTACTAACTAAGTCATGTCTATGCAGCCTTTGGTAGGTGAAGGGGTTACTCATAATAATGCTGCTCATCATTTGATGCGCTCTCAACCAGCACCAGCTGCACAACCGGCAGGGCCATCTGGTTCTGCAGCGCATTGCTCAGGTTAATCTGTGGGCATGTGCTGTAAGATAGGGACAGTCATATCCTGTACTTCAGGGCATCAGCGGCTCAGGAAGGAACGGTCTGCTACCATGTGCTGCATTGCACAATTAGCCAGATGTGTTATGGGGATTTCATTTCCCACCCCCCAGCCTTCAACGCATCTCTGTTAGGAGCAGGATGCAGGAATAGCTGGACCAATGGTCTGGACTGGAGACAGCTGGCTAGATGAGATCAAAGCTTTGCTCTGGAACAGTAGGAGGGAGGGAAACCAGACCTCATGCTCTAGTTATTCTTCCTCTTTTTAAAATCCAGAAGCAACTTGAGGCCCCAGCTGAGATCAGGGCCCCAATTTGCTAAGTGCTGTACAGACACAGAGCAAGAGTCCCTGCCCTGAAGAGCTTAGACTCTAAATAGACCAGACAGAAAAAGGGTGAGAGAAAGGATTATTTTTCCCATTTTACAGGTAGGGAAACTGAGGCACAGAGAGCAGCCGTGACTTGCCCAAGGTCAATGGCAGAGCTACGTCTCCTGAGTCCCAACCCAATGCCTTGGCCACAAGACCACCCTACTTGTCAACGGGCAGGTGTGCTATGCCAGGAGGTGGGGATGCTGGACTGGATTGGCCAATGGGCTGTGCTGGAATAGGAAGATGGGGGTGGGAGGGATGTTTGGCCCGATGGGCCAGTGTTATGATCTGGTGCATGAAGCAAATCCTATGTCCCGATCTTAAAGTGACATTCAATTGGTAGGAAGATGTGACTGGAAGGGAGCTGGGCTTTGTCCTGGCTTGGTGGGAATTAACTGCCCAGCAGCTATGCCTGAGCACCAGCCTTTGCGGTAGGGTTAGAAACAGAAAACCAGCTGGGTTAGCAGGAGGGAAGAGGACAGGAAAACTTACGTACGCAGATTGGCCCAGGGCGTTGAGCTTGGTGGGTCTCGCTGTCTTTCTGGAAGCCAGGACGGAAACTCTGCCCACATCCCCCTTCTCGACGGCTTCGAAAAGCTTCTGGTCGTGTTTGTTCCAGCTCTCGACCTGATTCGAAGAGAGCGTCACGGAGAAAGTGAGAGTGGGCAGGGCTGGAGGATGCACCGCAGCTAGAGGGGGCAGCATGGCCAAACAGAGCCAGGGCTCCCGCGGGCTAAGCACAGGTCTTGGAGCCAGGAGTCCTGAGTTCTAATCCCATGGCTGCCAGGGATTCACTCTACATGCCTGGGCAGCCCACACCACCTCTGCGTGCAGAATGGCTGAGCAAAGGCAGTACGGCCTAAACGGAGGATTGGGAGCAAGGTGGCCCGAGTTCTAAACCCACTGTTATCACCTACTCACTGAGTATGTCTACACGGGAGTTTTTACCTCCAGTGAGTTGATTGCAAAGTAACTCGAGGGCGTCACCAAGCTTGTGAAGGCTCGTCCGGACACTCGCCCAACCATCTGTGGCTTTCCTTAGGGATTAATCTAGAGCAAACCACAGATATGTGAGGAGTGCCCAGGCCAGTTTCTACAAAAGCCAAGCCCTCTAACCTGGGACAACCCAACTCTTCCTTTGTGCCTCAGTTTCCTGCTCTCCCAAAGGGAGCTAATAATGCAGAGGAGACTGACAGGTTCATTAGCTTTCAAGTCACTAGCTATAATTCCTGAGCGTGTGATGCACAAAGAAAACATGGTGCCTTTACACACCACCTTTCAGCTAAGGATCTCCAGTTGTCTATTTATAGCTGCATGCTTGTCATCATGACTGCCATTCCCTAGGGGTTTATTAGTGATAATTAGGGACCTACCGAATTCACGGCCATGAAAAATGCGTCACGGACAGTGAAATCTGGTCTCCCCCGTGAAATCGGGTCTTTTGTGTACTTTTATCTTACACTATACAGATTTCATGGGGGGCAAAACTGGGGGTTCTGACCCAAAAGGGGATCATGGGGGAGTTGCAAGGTTATTGTAGGGGGGGTCATGGTATTGCCACCCTTACTTCTGGGCTGCTTTCAGAATTGGGTGGTCGGAGAGCAGCGACTGCTGGCCGGGAACCCAGCCCTGAAGGCAGAGCCGCCACCAGCCGCAGGGCAGAAAGAAGGGTGGCAATATTGTGACACCCCTACAACAACAATCTGTAATCTCCGCCCCCTGCCCACACACACACACACACACACAATAGCCTTTCGGGTCAGGACCCCTACAATGACAACACCCCGACATTTCAGATTTAAATATCCGAAATCATGACATTTATGATTTTTAAATTCCTATGACTGTGAAATTGACCAAAACGGACCATGAACTGGGTAGGGCCCTAGTGATAATAGCTGGCCCCTATGGCTAAATGTCATGTTTCTTATTCGAGACATGCTTAATCAGGAAAGCTGCCGGATATCCTAATGACAGGGAAGGGCAATGGCAACTGTAGAATCAGGTCAGCATTACACACGGGTTTAGGGAGTGCTGAGTGGTTAAGTGGGTGTTTAACCAGCTGCTAAAGAGACATGACACAAGAAGGTCTGGTGTATTCATTAATAGAGGAATTGCCCGAACGAGTATTAAAAGAAAAGAGAGAAGGATCAGATCAAAAAAAGACCAAATGCAGTGAGTTGTATTAAATTGGTCCAGAATTGTATATAATTCAAGACATAAGATGGAGAAACAAGTGTGGTCTAATGGGCTGAGCTCAGCAGCAAGAACCAGATGCTCTGTGCCTCAGTTTCCCCACTGGGTGAAATGTGACAGCAATACTCGCCTTCCTTTGTAAAGGGCTTTGAGATTTATAGATGAAAAGCTGCTAGAGAAGAGCTAGATTTTTTTTAAAATCATCATCTGTGGTCTCGGGCAAGTCATTTCCTCACTTTGTGACTCAGTTTCCCCATCTACTTAACTCCCTCACAGACAACTTTGGCCTGGGGGGTGAAAACACAGGGATAAATTAAGCCATAGGAGAGCAGATGGGAGCCAATCCATTGGAGTTGCATCTGTTTACACCAGGGCTTCGATTTGGCTCCAAGGCTGGATTTTTTTAAACTATCAGAAATCTATCTGACGTACTCATATGGCCCACACCACCATAGTATCTGAGCACCTCGCAGTATTTAATGCATTTATCCTCATAGCCTCCCTGCCTCATACAGGGTGAGTATCGTCCCCATTGCACAGAGGGGAAACTGAGGCACAAAGAGACTGAATGACTTGCCCAAGTCACATAGGGCAGCTGTGGCAGAGCCGGGCATGACCCCTGGGTCTTTACGCCCTAATCATTGCACAAGCATGGAGTATTAATGAACCCGCAGAACCTGAGCGTTGGGTAGCTGGTGATTAACATTCCACACCCACCTATACACCCTGAGCGTGTGTGTGTGTGTGTTATTACACAAGGACTACACACCCCATGATTGCTCATATCCTAATTACCCTGTGTCCTAGACGAGGGCTGCAGTGGGAAAATAACCACGTGGTGGGATGCCTGGTCAGAGTGTACGAGCGGGGAATGGGATCTAGTTGCCTGCTCTGTTTGTTTCTTGCATGCAATGTAATTGTAGCCCTGTGGGTCCCAGGATATTAGCAAGACAAGGTAAAAGATATTACCTTTCCCACCTTGTCTCTCGACAGTCAAGAGAAGCCAAGCAATTGTTTGTTTGTTTTCCTGGGCACATGAGTGCAGTCTAGTGGTTCCATACCTTGGAGGGAGTGTGATCCAATGGTTAGAGTGGGAACAGGACTCCTGGGTTCCATTCCCAGCTCTTGAAAGATGCGTGGCCTAATGGTCAGAGCAGGACTGTCTGGTTGTGACTTTTTTGTGCATAACATTGGACATCAGGACTCCTGGGTTCCATGCCTACCACATCCACTTACTCATCCCTTCACTTCTGTGTTCCTCAGTTTCCCTCTCTGGAAAATGAAGACAATAATGCTTCCCTACCCCCTACAACTAATGAGTGGTTGTAGAGAACTTTGAGGTTCTCCGATGAACAATACCATAGACATGCAAATTATTATCACCAACCTTCTATTAACATGGCATTTGGTAAATTGGGCCTACACTAATTAACTGTAAAAAATCCTTGGCCACATGGATCTTCACAGCAACAGCAGGGATAGAACTCAGATCCTCCCGCTCCCAGGAGCATCCCCCTACCACTTTAGGTGAAGGATAATATCCCTTAAGTTTTTGGCAGTATAGGGCCCATGACACACAGTTCCAATTCCAACCAGCAGAGGGCAGGCATGTGCATAGTGTGGAGGGGTGTCATTACACTATACCTATCTGCAAAGAAGTTTGGGATCCTTCAGGATGATATAAAAGGAAATGCTTATTAATTGGTTATTCGCTACTATGGAGCATATTAAAGAGATGGGACCATAGGGCCAACACATCTGTCCCTGATACAGATGTGCAGCACCCAATACTTATTAACAGGCAAGTGGCTGGAGATCCCCCATGGACCCTGCAGTCCCTCATTGCACTGCTGGGTACAGGAGCCACAAGGCAAAGGTTCTAGGGTAACTTCTCCCGAGGGTGGGAGGCAGAGACCACTGAGTCCTCAACGGGATCTTTACAGCTGCACATCCCCACTCCCCTGGGCGCTGGCCCCTGGCTTCTGTACCAAGCCCGGGAACACCCTGGACATGCAACAGCCCCTGGCTGACTGAGTAATTAACCCACTCCGCCATTCCGGTTTGTCAGGCCCGGATGCTGCCTCCCTGGGCTCCCGTTGCCAAATCCAGATCGCTGCATGCAATGCAGAGCGAAGACAGGCTGGGAACTGCATGGCATTCACCCCATGGGCAGGAGGGGCCGAGGCTTGGGGGCGACAGTGAACAAAAGGAGAGAGACTCCGTGCAGAGAGATTTCTGGTTTGATCCGCTTCCCAGTGGCCCCCTAGCAAAGAGTGACAGGCTCCAAGGGCCTCACCAGCGGCTCTGAGCCCTTGATTTTGGGGGCACCAGCCCAGCTGGCTGCTCTGATGCTGGCCAAGGTCACACCAGGGGTCTGGAACAGAGCTGCGAATTGAAGTGGGACCTCCGAAGTTCCGAGCTAGCGCTCTGACCGTTGGACTGTCCTGCCTCTCCCATCACCCCCACTCCCAAACCCGGGCCGCAGAGTCAGCTCCAGCCTGTAGGACCCTCACCCTGCAGTCCAGGGGCAGAAGGGCAGGGCTGTGAAATGCTGTCCCCAAGGGCTAGCTCCGTAAGGGACTGCTGGTGAGGCCAGAGCACAGCACTCTTTCCACCCCATACGGTGGCACGGGGCTACGGTCAGAGACTAGCGCAGGGGCTGTCGGTCTTTGGCCACCCTGAGAGCCCCCTCTTCCCAGCAAGCTGAGCACCCCTGCTTGCTTAGCAACATGGGGACAGCACGGGGGGCAGAACCCTTAACACCTGGGGGGTGCGATGGTCACTTGGAGAACCTGTAAAATAGCATATGCATCGTACGGGGCTATTGCCAAGGAGGGCAACGTAGGTAAAGGGCTATTCGTATGGGGGCACTCCTCCCATAGACTACTGCAGGACAGGGCTCTTCTGTAGCACATGGTAATGTCCCTTTCTTAGGGCCTTACCCCCTCCACTCGGCTCAGATCCCCCACCTCGCCGGCCAGCTCAGCACAAGGGGAAGATCTCGGCGAGGCTCACTCACCGCAACCTGCGAGGTGGAACAGGAGAACATCTTCTTCATGGTGCCCACCGTCCCGCTCCGGGGTGCCTCCACGCCAGCAAAAAACCAACCAGCACCAGGGCGAGCGCCGGGCTCACACCATCCCCAAGCTGCACCACTCGCTTGTCAGGACAGGGGCCCGAGAGAGCGGGCCGGAGTCCCCGGCGTTGAGGAGGGCCAGGTGAGGACGGCCATGGACCAGCGCCCCAGAGGGACTCAGCACCAACTGCTGAGCAGGTAATTGCTGTCAAAGGGAAGAGGCGTGTTGCATCTGGGGAGCGTTTGAAACTAATCCTTCTGCCTCGAGGGCCAGTCTCGTTCCCCGCCCCTCGCCGCCTCCTGCACACCTGCTGATGGCTCAGACTCAGCCTGGGCTTGCCCAAGATCTGATCTCCGAGAGCGTTTGTTGCTGGGTTTAATGGAGAGACGTTTTCTGCCATGCCACCAGCTCCATTAGAGATGCCGGTTAGTGTCAGGGTCTGACGGAGGCACCAGGACCACGAGCCAGAGTTCGCATTCTTCGTTAAGCAGAGCCCAGCAGGGCACGATCCACGGACGATGGGCAGGGGAACAACACATGAGAGGACACAGGTCAAACTTCCAAGCCAATGAACTCCCCTGCCTCTATTTGACCTGCTTGGACATCACAGAGGAGGCTTGGTGGGCTCTGTAGAGATTAGACATGGTTTTGTTAAAACACCCAAAACATATACGGGCTCCATACAACCTGTACCCGGAGATACACTCATACACACAGGCATACACCCATTCCCCCTTGACACACACATATACCCTGACTAGCGCTGGTTGGGAGTTTTTTGTGAACATGCCGATTCATCTAAACTGAAACTTTTCGGGAAACAGGGTCAATTTCAGGGCTGGGCCAGGAGCCTTGCTCATGGAATAATCCACCAGCAGAGGGCAGCACCCCCACGCAAGAGGTAGACAGGCAGATTGGGAACCCAAGTTCCATATTTATCTGGTGCCCATCCCCATAGTATCTGGGCACCTCCCCAGCTTTTAACCTCCCTGTGAAATAGGGACCGTTGCTCCCGTTTTTGAGAGAAACGTCATCGAGCCGCAGCAGCTAAGTGACATCCCCAAGCTCTCACAGCGAGTCTGTGGCAGAGCTGTGCCAAGAATCCAGGGCTCCGGGCCCCCTCACCAGTGCATCGTCCTTCCTGTGCACCACGGGATGGGGAGAGATGGATATGCATGCAGTGAGGGCCATTTTCCAGATGAATCCCAACCAGTCCCAGAGGGCAGCATGACCCCAGGGCAGCTGAGGTGAGATGCACCCCTCCCTCTGCAGGATAGGATCCGGGAAACCAGACTGTAATAAGATAACAGGGCGTAGTAACAGCATCAAGCTCTCATTGGCACAGTCCAGCCAGCTAGCACGGGGGAAAGGAGCACAAGCATTGTCATTCGCTCTTTACACGGGGAGTCTAGAGACGCGACTCATCCGAGTCACCGGGAGGACAGAACCCTAACTCCCATTCTAGCCCCTAGCCACTGCGGCATGCTGGTTGGTGGACCTCAGTGCGGGCGTCCCCACCACAAAGGAAACCTGCATTGCACCTTCAACCGACGAGCCTGGGAACTTCAATTCTGCCGGAGGCTCAAAACCAGGGACTGATCTGAGACACTGGCTCTGTGGCCCATTACAACCATTTATAACACTCCCTATAGCCTGCTAACCAGACCTTCATTTGTAAAGAAATAGGGGCCAAGACTCATGTACGGTGCACCCACCTTGTGTCTCTCGTATCATGCAACCAACACGGCTACTATGCCACTGCAAAGCTCTGGGCCTAGGTGCTCTCAGTGGCGTCCGGGGCTTTCAGGGAGCGGAGATGCTTGGGATCGGGTCTGAGGTGCTTGGCCTCATAAACCTGGGGCTTCGTGTGCTTGAACCAATTGCAGGCCTCCTTCGTCACCCGGGATCACCAGGTACTTTATTGCTGCCTCTTGCTGCCAATTCAAACAAACCAGGCAATCACAGCCCGTTAAATCACTGGCAAGCGCAAAAGAAACTTCCCTGAAGCCGGTAACTATTGTCCTTGCTGGCCACTTCCCCTGCTACGCTGTGGGTGCTGCAGAGCGAGGGAGGGTCTGGTTCTTTTCCCATCCGGCACTCGTAGTCTGGTCCTGCTGGGTGCTGGGCTCTAGGCACAGCACGCTGGCAGAAGATACGGGCTGCGAGGGGCATTTGCCCCTCAGCACCCTTAAATCCAGGATTTCCCAGGAAAAGAAATCCAGCTGGGGCACTCCCAGGCCACGGCTTTGATCAGCTGCCTGGAGCACAATCACCTGGACCCTGGAGAAACACAAGCACCGTTAGAATCGTAGAAGATCAGGGTTGGAAGGGACCTCAGGAGGTCATCTAGTCCAACCCCCTGCTCAAAGCAGGACCAATCCCCAATTAAATCATCCCAGCCGGGCTTTGTCAAGCCTGACCTTAAAAACTTCTAAGGAAGGAGATTCCACCACCTCCCTAGGTAACGCATACCAGTGTTTCACCACCCTCTTAGTGAAAAAGTTTTTCCTAATATCCAACCTAAACCTCCCCCACTGCAACTTGAGACCATTACTCCTCGTTCTGTCATCTGCTACCACTGAGAATAGTCTAGAACCATCCTCTCTGGAACCACCTCTCAGGTAGTTGAAAGCACCTATCAAATCCCCCCTCATTCTTCTCTTCTGCAGGCTAAACAATCCCAGCTCCCTCAGCCTCTCCTCATAAGTCATGTGTTCCAGACCCCTAATCATTTTTGTTGCCCTTCGCTGGACTCTCTCCAATTTTTCCACATCCTTCTTGTAGTGTGGGGCCCAAAACTGGACACAGTACTCCAGATGAGGCCTACCCAGTGTCGAATAGAGGGAAACAATCATGTCCCTCGATCTGCTGGCAATGCCCCTACTTATACATCCCAAAATGCCATTGGCCTTCTTGGCAACAAGGGCACACTGTTGACTCATATCCAGCTTCTTGTCCACTGTCACCACTAGGTCCTTTTCTGCAGAACTGCTGCAAAGCCATTCGGTCCCTAGTCTGTAGCGGTGCATGGGATTCGCAGTTAAAGGGACAGAGCCTGATTAGAAATCACGGGTCAGGCCCGGGGGTCCTAACTCGGCAGAAATCAGCAGGAGTTTGCCGTTGACAAGCATGGTGTGTCTCCGGGGGGCAGACACACCAGACTGATCGGTTTCCGTACAGTCAGTTTCTCCTCTCCACTTCTAGCACTTTTTTAACCCGAGATCATAAAGCATTTGACAGATGGGGAAACTGAGGCAGAGAAAGGGGCCCCTCCCCCCCCCAAGGCCTCCCAGGGTCAGAGCCAGGAGTGGGCCACAAATTCCCAGTGAGGCAGCAGTGTCTAGTGGATGGAGCAGGGCGCTCCGACTGACTAGCCACCGGTTTTGCTGGGTGACCTTGGGCAAGTCAAGACCCTTCTCTGTACCCGTTCCCTGGCTGCAGGGAAGGAGCGTTACAACGCAATGGTTACGCTGCAAACCCCCACAGCTCAGGGAAGTTGATTTGTATCCACTGGAATTTAAATTCAGGGCAACGTTGGTATTGACATTCGAATTTTGTTGCTACAAAACACCTGAATGTTGGACCCAAAAGCTGTCCTGACACTGGCCCTTTAAAATACACTCCCTCCCCCCTCACCACACACACACACACACACACACACGCTGGGCCTGATTCTGATCTCCCTTCCTCCAGGGTAACTAGATTAGTCACCTGGTGCAGTGACTTAGACCGGCGCAAAGAGGGTGCCAGCCATGAGAGGGCCAAAGGAGAATCAGAACCCACCCAATTCATTCCTGATTCACCCCAGGGCCTGTGGTCCAGCCGGGCTTGCTGCATGCACCAGCGGTTGCTTTGGAAGTCTCACCTTAGCATTGGCTGCAAGTAAACAGCTGAACAGAGAGTCCAGCAGCGAGGGGGGTGGGGAAGAGGTACCTTTGTCCCACCTGCTCCAGGAATGAAGGAGGAGTCTTGCCCTGCCCCTCGGGAGGGCCAGCCTTCAGTTGCTCGAGTGTCACACACACCCAAGACAGCTCTTCTGCCTTGCACAGTTCAGTCCACACCCCCTGCACGGCTGGACTCAGGAGCGCAGGAGAGAGGAGGTCGGCCAGCCTGCATCGATTGCCACCGACGTGGGAGGCCCAAGGGCGATGCAGGAGCTCAAGGGCCGACTCGTGCCTGAAGGATTCCCCCTCCCAGCTGTGCGAGCCACCGCTGGCTTATTGCATGGGGCTGTCCCGGTTTCCGTGCCGCGGACCCAGTGGTGCATGCATTCAGGGTGAGCGGAGCTGCATGGAAGAGCACTGACAGGGAATGGGCTGGCTTCGGGCAAGGATGGCTGCACTGGCCACGTGGTGAGTAGAGGGGCCACTCTCCTCCTCCGCGCGCCGGGTGCTGTACGTCCCCAGTGCCACAACCCCTACCCCCCAGCTGGGAGGAGAGTGTGTTGAACATGCAGGAAGGGGGGATGGGGCAGTTGAACAGCTCAGCACGGCCCGACTTCGGGAACAAATCTTTGCTGGACGCTTGGGGGCTGAGCGGGGATGATGCGGCCTCCGTCCCGGCTGATGGGATCTTCGGCCTGCGGATCCTCATCTCCAGCGTCTACTTGGTGGTGTGCACCGTGGGGCTGCTGGGCAATTCCATGGTCATGTACTTGGTCCGGGCCCAGAAGGGCAGGCCGGCCTCTCCCATAGACGTCTTTGTCTTCGGCCTGGCGCTGGCTGACTTCCACTTTGCCCTGACCCTGCCCTTCTGGGCAGTGGAGACGGCCCTGGATTTCACTTGGCCCTTCGGCAATGTCATGTGCAAGCTGGTCCTCACCTTGACCGTCCTGAGCGTCTACGCTAACGTCTTCCTGCTCACCACCATGAGCGTCACCCGCTACTGTTCCGTGGCCTCTGCCATCAGGCCCGGCCTCAAGCTGACCGCCAACCTGGCCAAGTGGATCACCGTGGCTCTTTGGGCCGCAGCCTTGGGAGCC